AAACAAAAATCTTAAGTTCCAAAATTTCGTTCAATTTTTTACCATGTATAGATTGACACTCATGGATAGGTAACGAGAAAGAAATAATTAATCCTTAGAATTTAAGTGATGGGTAAAATAGATGACTTTTTACAATGTAAATTAATTGAAGAAAATAAAAATAATGCGAAAAAATTAAATAAACAATGACATAAAGAATTTTTACATGATTTTCACAATATGAGGTATGTCTATGAGACAGTAGCCCGATTTCATTATCAACTAAAAGTTTACGAACGATTACAAATGAGACATAAATCACTACTAGGTGAATTCTAAATAATCACAAATAAATAGATAAAAGGCCTCATCACAATAGATGAATGAAATTTTTTGAAACAAATTGTAAAAGACCCAAAATAATGAACCAAAAATATAACTCCACCGAAACCGTCCAAGCAGCCACGAACCAAAACAAAGAAATTTCGAAGCTCAAACAAATCAAAGCAGCAATAAATAGTGCCAAAGTCTTGGACAAAATTACTGCCAAATACACACAATAGTACTACATCAAATTGAACCCCCGAAATTGATATTTATGTATATATATATATATAGAATAATGCTTGGGATCCCCTTTTGGGAGTCACCCCCTCACCCCCCCTTTGCCACGTGGCAGGTGGTGATTAGAGGAGCAGGAAAAAAAAGAAAAAAAAATGTAACTAATGAGAGAGAGAGGGGCTCAAAGGGGGTGGGGGGAAAAGAAGGATGAATCATTGTTAAAAATATAATATCAATATTAGTAGCGCACACAATAAATATTTTGGATTTCTCAAAATTAAGAACATACAAAAGTGGCCAAACAAGCAAAGACTAGTTGATTTGATCAAAGATCAAAAGGTAATCTTTTGTATCGTTATTGAATTGCTTGCCGACAATAACTTTTTATCCCCAATATTGGAGTACACATATATAGGGTATGCTTTCGTTTGATTGTGTTTTGTAAATGTGATTTGAGAGTATGAGTTTTATTTTAAATTTGTGGGTTGTAGAATTATGATTTGAGTGTAAAAAAATTGTTTGGTTATGATTTTTAAATAGAGTATTGAATTGTATTTTGAAGATATATTTTGAATTAAGTTTTGAAAGTTTGATATGACATTTTAAAGGTGAAAATTTATTTGGTAATGTGTTTTGAAAATAGTTTTCAAAACTTAATTCAACCAATAATTTGTCATCAAACACACAACTCATATATCGATATCCATATTTTTTATCAACAATAATAACCAAACTATTTTTAAAATACTGAAATTAAAAATTGATTTTTTTTGTCAATTAATTTTTTATTTTATAATTTTTTTGAATAATTATTTTTTCGAAATAATTTTTTCATTTTAAAATAAACCTATGTCAATTATTTTCTGCCAATTAATTTTTCTATCAATTCATTTGTAAAATACGTTTTTAATTTTTTTCTAACATTTTGTTAAAGTCAACAACTTTTGAACATATATAAATAAAGAAGGAATAAATACACTAAATTTAATATTTTAAAATACAAATCATAACGTAAATCTTACAAAATATTATCAATTTTTTTTTCCATTTATTACATGTTATGAATTTCGTCCATATGTTGCAACAGAAATGCAATGCATTATTGTACCCGTTGAGCTCATATAATTGTGGGATTGACATACAAAATGACTATTATGCTCCTCTTGACCTAAATAGAAAGTGATTACATAGAACAAAATATAAAGGGTAAGATAGTAATTTCACTTACTTATTACCTACCCCCTATCGTTTCATAACTGTGTGTTCAACACTGAGGTAAAGAAAAAGGAGAGGCTGCAGCTGTGTACTCAGTACACGGATGTGATATATATATATATATATATAAAGTAATAATATTAAAATCGAATAATATTTAACAAATAAAAAGTAAATAAAAAAAATTTCAAACTGAACCTTTTGAACCTCACCATTTCTATTAAATCTGAATCTCATTCCGTTTACCACACCAACTTCACCATCTCAGAAACACCTTCTCCAGTTATATCAGAAAATAAAAATTAGAGAAATAGAAGCATATCCACGATCTCATTAGGTCCTCCTTCTCCACTTTCATAATTTACAGGTTAGTTTTGATGCCAGTTCATCTTCATATTAGCTTCAGATATTAGCTTCAGAGGGAGTGAGGGAGGGAAAAGGAGGACAACCGGCCGGTGATCCCACGGGACATCCGGCCGGTCATCCCGGCCCAGTCACCATTCCACCTCCGTATCTGTTCGCTTTGTTACATATCTGTTCCATTTTCATCTGCTATATATTCTGATTTCTGTTCTAATTTTGTCACACTATCATTTATTTTTCTGATTATCAGTTTCTAAGTTATAATAAACTGAATGAAACAAACCCAATATAAATGAGAAATATCATTCCCTATGATTTTTTTTTTATTTTATAAAAATCTGTTTCTATGGCATCTGCCTAATTAAATTTTGTCACCAAATTTTTTTATATTTATTTTTTACATAAAAATAAGTTTGTATGCACAAAAATGTACTAATGGTTGATATATTTTTCATACATATGTTTTATCTCTCATATGTTGTAATATACAATTTTCTTTCACTTTTGCAGTCATCATGCCAAGAACAATCATGCCAAGAACAAAACAAACTAGGCCCGAACTTGGTGAATCCTCAAACCCTTTACCACCACCACAGCAACAACATGATGGCTATCCAACTAATGATTTTGCAACATATCATTTATGAACAAGCCTATAAACATTTCATTACACGACCAATTATTACGGGGAGAAACGTAAAACTACATTCTAAATATGATTCACTCTTACTTGGCAAATTAGATACAATGGGATGGTTACCATTAAATAATTTGCCAAATAAGATATATCCCCGTCTTCTACGATTATTTTATGTTCACTTGACACTGGGTGACCAACAAAATGAACCGTTCAGTCTTACCTCTTATGTTAAGGGGAAAAGAATCACACTCTCTCTCCGTCGTTTTGCACAAATTATTGGAGTCGAAACAGGAGATTTACAATGTTATTTTCAAAATGAGGCCGCATTAGAAAAAATTGTTGATGATGTCACTCAGATTTATACCACAATTTGTAACAATCGATTTAGCGGCACTAATTTACAAGTCAGCCATTTAAAACCTCACATTCGTATTCTCCATCGATGGATAGTTGAAAATATCACTCCCAAAAAAGGACATTATAATA